GGCTTGCAAGCGGGGGGACGGGCCCCCCCCCCCAGTGTCGCTGTCCCCCCCCCCAGGAGTTTCTCGGAGCTCTACGCTCGCTCGCTGGAGCAGGGCCGGGGCTCGGGGGGGGACCCCGACCCTGGGGACCCCCACGGGGACATCGGGGACACCAGCAGCGACTCGGGGGGGGACAGCGACACTGGGGGGGGGTCCCCCGACCCCCTGAGGGTGCTGGAGCTGGAGGAGGAGAGCACCCCCTTCCCCCCCCGCCCGAGGAGCCCCAAAAACCCCAGCGGGGACCCCCCCAGCCCGTGAGTGAGCCCGGGCACGGGGGACCCCAAAAACCCCAAAATCCCACCTGGGAACCCCAGATCCCCTTCGGAACCCCCAAATCCGCTCTGGAACCCCAAAAAAACCCACCTGGGAACCCCAAAATCCGCTCTGGGAACCCCAAATCCCTTCTGGGACCCCAAAACCCCCCCTAGGACCCCAAAAATCCACCTGGGAACCCCCAAAATCACCTGGGAACCCCAAAACCAACCTGGGAACCCCAAGGACCCACCTGGGAACCCCCAAATCTGTTCTGGGACCCCCAAAACCCCTCTGGGAACCCCAAAAGCAACCTGGGACCCGGAAAATCCCCCATGAAACCCCAAAAACCACTCTGGGACCCCAAAAACCCACCTGGGACTCCCAAAATCCCCTCTGGGACCCCCAAAATCCGCTCTGGGACCCCAAAATCCCCTCTGGGACCCCAAAAAAACCCAACTGGGAACCCCAAAATCCCCCCGAGAACCCCAAAACCCCTCTGGGAACCCCCCAAAACCCATCCGGGACCCCCAAAATCCACCTGGGAACCCCAAAAAACCCACCTGGGAACCCCAAAATCCCCTCTGGGCCCCCCAAAACCCACCTGGGACCCCCCAGAAATCTCCCCGAGAACCCCAAATCCCCTCTGGGACCCCCAGAATTGTCACCCAACGGCATTGTCCCGCCTTGGGGGGACCCCAAATTTCCAGCCCCCCCTCTCCCCCCCATGGCCGGGCAGGGCCAGCCCTGGTGGCTCCTCCCCACGGGTGACATCCCCGGGGGGTGGCCTTGGGGACACTCCGGGCACTTGGGGACACTCCGGAGACACTCGGGGACACTTGGGGACACCCCAGGACATTCCAGGACACTCGGGGACACTCAGGGATATTCGGGGACACTCGGGGACATTTGGGGACACTCGAGAACACTCAGAGATACTCAGGGCACTTGGGGACACTCAGGGATATTCAGGGACATTCGGGGACACTTGAGGACATTTGAGGACATTTGGGGACATTTGGGGACACTCGGGGACACTGCGGCCATGGCGGGGCTGAAAACGGCCACGGGTGAGGAGATCGACGGATCCTTCGAGCTGCACGTGGAGGTGGAGGAGGGACGGGAGTGGGGACAGGAGTGGGGACAGGGACAGGAGGGGGGACAGGGACAGGGACAGACACAGGGACAGGGACAGGAGGGGGGCCAGGGCCAGCCCCGCGTTGTCACCCTCTGTGTCACCGGGGAGCTGCAGCTCGGGGAGCTCCTGCGGCGCATCCTGAGCTCGCTGGGTGAGTGACCATGGCCGGAGCCGCGGGACTGACCAGTGAACTGACCCCTGACCCACGGGACTGACCCCTGGGACTGACCCCTGGGACTGACCCCTGACCCACGGGACTGACACTGACCCCTGGGACTGACCCCTGGGACTGACCCCTGGGACTGACCCCTGACCCACGGGACTTGACCAGTGAACTGACCACTGACCCATGAGACTGACCACTGAACCCTGGGACTGACCCCTGACCCACGGAACTGACCCACGGGACTGACCACTGACCCCTGGCACTGACCCACGGAACTGACCCCTGGCACTGACCCATAGAACTGACCCCTGACCCCTGGCACTGACCAATGGCCGGAGCCGTGTCATTGACCAAAACCACTGACCAATAGCCCTGACCCCTGGCCCTGACCCATGGCCGGAGCCCCAGAAATGACCAATAGCACTGACCAATGGCCAGAGCCATGGCCGGAGCCATAGAATGGACCAATAGCCCTGACCCCTGGCACTGACCCATAGAACTGACCCACGGAACTGACCACTGACCCCTGGGACTGACCCACGGAACTGACCACTGACCCCTGGCACTGACCCCTGGCACTGACCCCTGGCACTGACCCATAGAACTGACCCACGG